TAAAAAAAAGATCACCAGCAAAAGCCCTTAATATTTCCAATGGGACCACGTTGACCAAGCTCCTCCTGCATGAAAGTGTGTAAAGGAGACTAGCAATTAGTCCCCTCAACAAAAGAAATAAACGGAAATCAGTCAGATGTTGGCTACATCTCTTTACAGGAGATGCAGAAGAGCAGCTGTTACAGTAGGGATTGTTGGGATTTCTTGTGAAAGTCAGTAGCAGATGTCACCATCTGCTTCTGCCTTCTCTGTGCCATAGGGGCAAAAGGGAGACTGAAAGCTTATTAAGATGTAACAACAACAAAAAAAGTTCAAAAGATACCCAAACATATTTACAGTGAGTAGGGGAACTTCTTACCCCTTTTCCCTGGCAAACCTGTGATGCAGATGCACAATAGAAGTAAAGAACACTCCTCATTCTCTTTAAATCTTGATTTATTTTATTTTTTTTCATTTTAATCTTACTACATGTACTTTGACAACATTCAGCCTGCAATCTAACACCTAGCCATTTCCTTCTCAGCTGAAAGAGATCACAGAAATGAGCAGTTGTATCCTTTCCCTCTGGCTATACAGCGATGGTCTGATGACAACTGCTTTACCAGGGTTGGTATCAGACAAACAAAAATTCCCTGCTGAATGATCTACACAATGATGTCATGTGTGGAGGCAAAGTATTTATTACTTAGGGGAAAAAAAAATAGAAAACCCAATAAAAAACAAACAGAACTTCTGCTGAATTGTGTCGGGAAACACGCTGTACATGTTTGTACATCTTGGCAGATAAAGATCAGATGAGGCAAGCAATGAAGTGGTTAACCAAATCAGAAAGTTATCTCAGACATCCAAAGGCACATCTTGTAAACCTCACATAACTTCTTACACAGAACTAAGGAGAAAAAAAGTATGGGCTTGTCTGGGAAGAAACAAATGACACTGTCAACAAAGAGTTTGCTTTCTCAGACAGAAAAGAAGGTATTAATGAGATCCAGAGCCCAGCAAAAGAACAGGAATCTTTTCCAATGGTGTATAAAAGGTTTGGATCAAGCCCCAGCTTTCCTGAAAACTAGACTTGCTAATTGCCTCACTCTTCCACTGTCAAAACCACCATCTCACTGAACAGAAATATGCTTCCAATATTGCCAAAGGGCAGACGTTTCCACACTGGTAATACTGGGAGCCATGTTCAACCACCACCGGCAACTTGATGGCCATCACCTCCCCAGTTTGGTATCTCATGCAGAAAAAAAAAAACAAAACAAAACAAAAAAACCCCAGCATTTTGGGAAAGGTTTGTAGATTTTCCTTTGTTTGTTAATTTTCAGAAGCAGAGGCCACCTTGTAGCTTATTACCATAGTACAAAGCATTTCGCTTTTCATCTAATGTCATATTCAGATAATAAATAAGATTCAGAAATGAAAGATCCCATTATCCTTTGGCATTGTCAGAAATCAGCAAATACTTGAACTATACCTGGATAAATTGACAGAAGTAACTGAAGAGAGCAGCTTTAGCAAGGTATTTTCCCGAGACTATTACTGGAAGTACTATGCCAGATACTCAGCTGGCATAAATCAACATGACCCTATTTACTTTGCTGCAGCTGTGTTGATTTATCTGAGCTGAAATGCATGTACTGGTCAAAAAGTGACTATTTTGTCTTCCAAAACGATAAAATTGACTGAGAAATGAAGGGTAGTACATATAATACAAAGAAAAAATTAGAAAGTACTATAGAAAGGCTCAAAGTAGATGTATATTTTATTATGATTAGTCTAACATAGCCACTTGTTTTACTCCATGTGAAATTTTAGATAATATTATCTGTTACATATATATGTATCTCTTGAGTATGGACCCAAGTATTCATGTGGTTTAATAATGCTGTACCTTTACAGAACTAAGATGTAAGGCTCAGACAGTAGGTTCAACCAACTTGGAATTTATCACTGGTGTTTTTTGTAAAGTCACTGTGGCTGTCAGAATATGAAACATCAGACTTAAAAGCAGGCTCACACAGCAAACTTAAGTGCTCAGATTTGAAGTATGGTGTCATATCTCAAGAACTACTCCTGTTACGGTCTTTTTCTTAGAGAGCAAGATAAAAGTGGAAAATCAAAGAAACTTCTCAAAGCCAGCACTTCTCTCAAGCCTTGGTAATTTTGAGAAATTGGAAACCTCTCATATTAGACTTAAGCACTCTTTACCCTTATGAACTCTGTAGACTTCCCTATTATTGTACAGGCTACATGAGATTAACTATTGGTGCTCCTTTCTGAGTTAAAACTGAGAAGGATAAGGAGAAGAATTGGTATTCTGAAGTAAGAGGTGTATATTCCTAAATTCCTTTGTCAGGGAAGCAGCTCTTGAGATTAGACAGCTCTTACTTTCACTAGGCTTGTATATTGCTGTCCCAGCAGTACAATATCTGAACATTATATGAAGAGAGATCATGAAGCAATCTCTTTACAATTGTCTGTTTGACTCAACCTCAATGACCAGCTGCTAACAGCCACTTGGCAGGCAACTGAAACTCATCATTCTTCACAAAGAGTACTGGTATGACAAATGCAAATACTTCTGTATTTGATCACAGTCCACAACACAGGCTGCCAGGTACCAAAAATTCATTCTGCTCATCCTTATCACTGCCTTACAGTGTAACACACCTTACAGGTCCCTGCCTACAAGAAATACTAGGATTTGTCTCTTCACAGTCTTCTCCTATACACACGTTCACTGTAGGAAGCTTACATGAATTTTCAGAAGTATGATTAACACTTAAGATATGGGGAAAAAATATGTACTATCTGTTGGGACAGATCAACTCTGCACCTCAGCAAGTGGCACTGCCACACACAGCCTTTTGCTCTCTGCTGATTCCGAGCTATTTTATTTCGTGCAGACAAGATGTGCTTAGTATCACCATCAACTGGACATCGCCATCTCATCAATTCATTGTAACACTAGATCAGCTGGAACAGTAGCATGTAATTGCAATATTGGAATTAAATATGTATTGGTTTATTTAGGCATTCCCAACCTTTGAAATCACTGAGTGGGGGTGAGGGAGAAGGAGGCCAAACCATAGCGCATTTTAAAACTTTCATGTGGATTACCAGCTCTGCATAGGAATCAGAAATCCCAGCTAAACTCTTTTCCTCCCAAAGCACCTTTGCAGTCTTCAGAAGCATTACAAAAGTGCTGAATGCCTGAATGGCTTTTAGGAAACAACCTCAAAACTACTTTTCTTCCATTACTTCTCTGTATAAATTTTCAGAGTTTCTCCCCTAAAAATACCACAAAAATGGCACTGGGCTGTGGTTACAGTTGCTTTCATGGCATGTATGCCTGCTAAGGCACACAGAGCCAACCAAAACCATCTTAAGACAAGACTCATGGCACAACAGGGTTAAAACTACACCCAGCATATACACACAACAAAAAGTACAGCCTGAGACCTCAAAGCACAGGCTTGTGTTCTCCATGGAGACATTAAATGTGCTGAAAAGAGACTTCGGATTGGAAGCTCCATTGCAGCAGTGTCAAAGCTGGAACAAATGTGAGAGGGCTCAAAATAGCAACGAGCACTGAAGTTTTCCTCCTTCAAAATTTCACAAGGCTATAGAGAAGCAGCAGCAATGGTAAATGTGTTCCTACAGTTTCCATCTCATTGCTCCTTAGTGTTACTAGAAATCGTGCCAGGCTACTATTTGTCGTTTCATATTCCTTCATTCTTTATGTTGGTCAGAATGTTTTAACTGCACAATGATAATTCAGAGCAATTTGGACCTGAGTTTACAGCTCCCCAAGAATATCTCTCTAAAAGAAAGCAAAGTACGGGCTTCTAAATGAAACAATCATCTAGTGAATTTGATTCCTTTTTCTAATTTTGAACTTGTACTGTCATCTGCTCCTGTGCACCAACTTCTACCATCGTTTGGCGCACCCCCTACTGTAAATGCTGCTTAGTCCGCGTACTATGAAGTTTCGCAGCTATGACTCCCAAAGACTGAAATCAATATTTAAATCCTTCTGACACTCACTCCTTTCTCTTTTTTTTTTCTCAGCAGAATTGCAATTATGGTCAATTTTATATTTGTCTGTATGATTAAAACTATTATATTTTTTTGCCAGACTATAATTTATATAATTGCATTCCTGTAAAACTTGAAGTTATTTCTCATTTAGAAATAGACCACAATGCCAGTTTTCTGTGTTAAAGTTTAATTTTAGAGTGTTATCTAAAGTCACAGTACTTTAAGGGCAGAGGAAAACTGTCATTTTACAAAAGACTTTTAATCAACCATGGACTCTTACTCAAACTAAATAACAGTATTAATTGTTCTTGAAGTACTGCAAGAGGAAAAGGGATGATTAAGTGGAATTTAAGCTGCATTGCTATTAAGGATTTAACAGCCATTTTAAAGCCATGTGTTAAAAGCCATCTTGTCACAAGTTAGGGGCTACAATTCACAATTTTTTCAAAGTATACCAGGCTGTACTAATTAGCCTTATGAATTTAGAGGGTCTATTATTCCTGCCTCTTAATGTGACATTTACGCACAAATAAAAATCTTGAGTACAAGTCACACGTGAAATTGCGTCTGTTATGCAGTTGCCCTCCTAAGTGTTCAGAAAACCTGCCTTTTAAGGTGTCATTTTTACATTTTAGCCATAACTGATGATCAATATAGACAGAAAACTCAGGGATGTTATATTGTTGCAGTCTCTTGAGAGCAACAATACACAAAATGAGATACACAAGCCTCCCTCCATCATCAGAGGGTTACAAAATGATGCTTGAAAGGGAAAGGTGCTGTTCTGCAGGCTCTGAGACTGCCAGAAGGGCTATATTAAACACTGTGAGCAGGCTACAAATCATGACACCCTCCCTACAGAATTTTGGCAAGTTTAAATGAAACCTGTGGATGCATTGTTTCATTTTTCCGGTCAGATGCATACAAAGTTGGGAACAGTTTCACATGGATTTTCTAACCTCTCCTGGGGCTTTCATGATTGAAGAGGATGCCATTCACAGCAAACAGATTGTAGGCCTCTCTGAAGTTCACCACAATCCAGTAGGCATAGAGTTTTGCTGCTCCTACAAAAATAATTTTGAAGTGTTACATATATCCACTGTGCTTGTACACAGCTCAGACAGGCATACACATCTCTCCCACACACAAGTCCACATTTCAACAGCAGAGTGCATTAGGATTTGATTCAGTCCCTAACTGCATCACATTTCATATAGAAAAAAATATCTGTCCCAATAAGCAGCATCTGAATGGGAAAATACTCCTATTCTCTGCAGCCCCTGAACTGGCCAGGAAGCACTAGGGCATTTTCTCACTGTTTTCTTCTGCACACTCAAGCACTTTTTCTTTTACAATATAATTAACACAGCCAGAGCGTGTGAAATACGCCACAGTGGTGACCTTTGCTAATAAAAAACAAAAAAAAAAAAATTGCTTTGGAGGAATAAAAACAAAAATCTGGTGCCTTAACACTCAAATTGATTTGAAACTTTATCACCAAAGTCCTCCATGCACATTGCTTTAATAAGTGTTTCAAATTTCATGCGAGTTCATGAAGGAAGACGTGAGCTCCTGGGAGTTTCTCATTTAGGCAACAAAAAATATGAAACCTTATCACTTCAGGGGTATCTCACAACCCTTTGTGAAGGAAGAGCTGCCCTTCCCCCTGTCTCTACAACAGCTCCCTACCTCTGCACTGAATGAACACGGTCTTGTGAAGTGAGATGCTAATTTCCAACCCACAGGCAATGGCAGCAAATACTTTTTATATAGTAATTCATAAAGGCATGCCTCTTGACATGTCTAGTCACTTTAGCTCTATCGCCAGTCTAATCTCACACCCAAATGACTTCAGCTCTGAGACATGAACAGGGAGAGTAGACAGACAGACACTACACACACACTGTCAGTGATCCTCACCGTAAGGCGATCTTGGGTAAAAAGGGGTGGTCTCCTTTTGCGGGATTTCTTGCACTTTTCCAAAAAGTTCACTGGTGGAGGCTTGGTAGAACTTCACAGAGTTGATAAGGCCACAGGTCTTAATGGCATCTAGGAGCCGTAAAGTGCCAACCCCATCAACATCAGCAGTATATTCTGCTAGGTCGAAAGAAATCTTGGGGAGAGAAAGAAATAAGGAACCACCAACTTTACTAGGGAACCAGAACATGCTGTGATCATGTACAACCAACCAAAGTAATACATCACTTGTAACAGACTATCTAGACACTTTAGTACAGAGTAGATGCTCAGTTTACAAAAGTACCCTCAAAGGATTTCTAAGAATAAACAAGAATTCCATAAATAGCAGAACCAAAAGGCTGGTGTTCCCTGATCTCTCTCTCAGGATTATTTTCCCATGTGAAGTAAGGGGTAAGCCTTCTCACAGTGGAAGCATTATCAGGCACTGTCTCACCTCCGCAGCTGCCAATTTTCACAATATTCACTTGGGCTTAATATCTTTGCCACACTTGAATTTGGTTAAAATTGTCAAAAATACGTTAAAAAAATTGACAGCACAATAGCACAAACCTGTTAAAAAAACACACACAAACTTGAACAAGGTCCAAAGTTTTGGAATTTAAACACACATCAAAATGGAAAGAAGACTAGAAGTATCTGCTGTCAAATGACATACCACCTAAGGTGTGCAAGAGCTTTAGCACAGAGGTTAGAGGGATGATGAAGTGGGACAGCAAAGGGTGGAGATATCCAAAAGAAACCCGATATCTTCTGCAGCTGACATATGATAATAAACAGTATGAACTCATGCACGCTGCTGGGCCAAAACTCTTCTTTCTCTCCTTGCTCCAGTAGTTCTCAGTTATTTTTATAATGAGCTTGATTGTGGCAAAGGCCACAAGAGAATGATTGTGTTTAAGTTTTTGGAGTGTTTCAAAAATATATTAGTTCTATTCCTGACAGTTAAAGAAGAAAACAAAAAATTAGAAAAGGAAGCTGAAAGTAAGATATGCGTTGCGTCCATCCTAATTTGTAGGCAGGAGTGAAAAATGCTCGGAAGGGAGCTCACTCTCCCTGTTTGATGGGTACAGGTTGGCTGTTTGGATGTGCTGGCAATGCTCTTGGACTCTAAAGGATTTTCTCCCACCAGCGCCCATCCCAGAGACATTTTCCTTCTTCCTTCTACATCCTCTCTCTAATCCAGAGATTCTGCTTATGCCAGCTCTTGGAAAAAAGTTCCCTGTTTATATTGCCAACGTTATAAACAAGTAACGGAATGGACCTTTAAGGCAATCTCCATTGCCACAACCCAAGCAAGAATTAACCTACCTATGTCCCCTCTGGCTTATGACTGACTTTCACGAATGAGCCCTAGAGTGAAGGCAACATTACAGTTTGTTAATATGATCTAGGCTAAAGGTTAGAGAGACACTACCAAAGACAGAGAGTACAAATCCATGATCCCCCCTTCATTAGTCTTCAGAATAGGGTAACTACTATTACAATAGAGAGTAAATGACCATAGCTGGACAAGCTGAGTTAGTGCTGTGAAAAATAACCTGTCACTTACCAGCTATTTTTTCAGGCTCCCTGCAGATTCAGATATATAGTTCTGTATTAATTTCTCCTGTTAAGCCACTTCCATATTCAGCAATCACTACAGATTTAAGGCTTATTTACACAGCAGATGACATAAAAATAATAAGATTAATTTGAATTTGCACTTTTTTTAATTTAATACAGGTATGAAATAATCTAAATTGTGTTACTGAGCGCCAAAATCAAAAAGGTTCTCACACAGTTTTGATCTGAAACAGCAAAATGGTATGGCTGAAAACAAACTTCATTTTTTTGCTTTTTACTAAAACTCAAAAAAAAAAAAAAATCTGACATTTTGTTTGGTTAACCTGGTATGACCCAGCTGAAACTGAGAACTTATCTATCGAGAAATGCTGAGTATTTCTTGTTTTAATCAGTTGGACATAAAGATGACAGCCACTTAAGGTCTTTCAGCTTGTCCTGGGTTCAGCAGTAGCAGTCATTTTTCTCCTTCTTAGTAGCTGGTGCAGTGCTGTGGTTTTGACTTTCAGCCTGGGAACAGCGCTGATAACACCGATGTTTTTAGTTGCTGCTAAGTAATGTTTACTCTGACCAAGGACTTTGTGAGCCTCATGCTCTGCCAGGGAGGAGGGGAAGCTGGGAGGAAGCAGAGACAGGACACCAGACCCAAACTGACCAAAGAGGTATTCCATACCACAGCACGTCATGCCCAGGAGGTAGAACTGGGGGCAGTTACCCAAGAGGGTTAGATCACTGCTCGGTCAGGCTGGGCAGTGGCTGGCGGGTGGTGAGCGGCTGTATTCTCTTCCCTTGTTATTTCTCTTATCATTATTATTATTGGTGGTAGCAGCAGTGGTTTGTGTTATACCTTAGTTACTGGGCTGTTCTTATCACAACACCTGGGAGTTGCATTGTTACAATTCTCCTCCCCATTCCTCCAGGAGTGGCGCGGGGGGAAGAAAGGAGGGGAGTGAGATTGAGACTGCGTGGTTCTGATTTAGGGCTGGGCTTAAACCACGACACAGCTTCACTGTCAAAGTCTTGCAAAAACATCTTAACAGGTGATACAAGTCAATAATGCACTAATGAACAGAAATCATATATTTACCATATAGCTAACACCTTCACATATTCACAGTAACAACCCAGCTCTCTAACTAAAGGCAAAACACTAATTGTAGCAGAACCAGGAATTTACCTATATTAAGGTACTCTTTCCAACAAACAATCTGCTAAAAACATCAACCCAAAATGCAATTATTGCTTACATATTCTACTACAAAGTATATGACACATATAACTAAGGTGGTCTTAAATCAGAGATCCCAGATTACAAGATCTCTTAATCAGAGTGAGCAATGAGCCTGCAGTAGCAGCCCTGAGAACTGCTCTCCTTGGCTGATGCAGAGGCCAGTTTCACAAGAGATGCTTTCCCCTTTTGCCTTATGAATGACCTCAGTCTTCACCTAGAAAAATCACTCTCTGGGGTCTGAGGTAATTGTGCCTCTGCACTGGCTGGGTCTGCGCGTCCCTGAGAAAAAAAAACACCAGCTTTGTGCCTGTTTGGTGGTTTTGTGAAGTGGGCTGTTGATCACGAGGGACAGGGCTCAGATCACTAAACTAATTTCATTTTGGAGTGCAGGTTAGACTAGAATGGCATTCATAAAAATAAAAAATGGTTTTATCCACTGAAACCTCCAACACCAAAAACGCTGGACTGTTAAGACACTCTCTGTGCAGTGGGGCAGTAACATGGCAAATACAGATTAGTGCACACTGGATTTTAATTTGATTCTAATTCAAACTTAACAATATAAAAGAGTTTTATAAAATACTAGATTAAGTAGTTACAAATGAAGCAGGGAAGGAAAAGGTGCTGAGTTATCCATTACCACAGTTTTTGCCTCTCCTAAACATCATTTTGTACAGGACCAGCAGAAAGATGGAGGTAAAAAAATAATAATGTAGGGACCTCATTAAGAGGGATGTGCAAAAGAGAACTGACATGTATGCACAACACACACACAAAAGGCCATGGTCTGAGCTATAGAAACCAAATACAGAATCATATTCTTTAGATGTCACTCATAGAAATAATCTTTGCTGGAGCACTGATCTCAATGGGACTGCCTGAGAGAGAGTAAAATAGAATCATAGAATAGTTAGGGTTGGAAAGGACCTTAAGATCCTTTAGTTCCAACCCCTCTGCCGTGGGCAGGGACACCTCACACTAAACCATGCCACCCAAGGCTCTGTCCAACCCGGTCTTGAGCACCACCAGGGATGGAGCCTTCACAGCTTCCCTGGGCAACCCATTCCAGTGCCTCACCATCCTCACAGTAAAGAACTTCCTCCTTATATCCAATCTAAACTTCCCCTGTTTAAGTTTTAACCTTACCCCTTGTCCTATCACTACAGTTCCTAATGAAGAGTCCCTCCTCAGCATCCTTATAAGCCCCCTTCAGATACTGGAAGGCTGCTATGAGGTCTCCAGGCAGCCTTCTCTTCTCCAGGCTGAACAGCCCCAACTTCCTCAGCCTATCTTCATTTGGGAGGTGCTCCAGTCCCCTGATCATCCTCAGATCTTCATGGTAATTATTGTAAAGGCAGGTGTATGAAGGATAAAACCAAGTCACTTTCTGGAAGAGTAAACATTTATTCAGTAGATTAAAAAAAAAAAAAAAAAAAAGAGAAAGAAAAGCAGGTAATACCTGCAGATGAGAGTTTTCAAACAGCCTAATTTGTGGCATCTTAAGTGACTGAATTAGGAAGATAGTCTTCCTGTACAGTGGTGAGTCAGAGCAGAAAGCCTAACAGCTTTTGCTCATGCTTTGGAGAAACCATATATACACTAGTTTTTTAATTTAGCTACCTGAGATAGATGCTTCATTTTAACCTCAGAATCCAAAACTATCAGTTACTGTCAACTGCATAAAGCAAGCCATGCAACTAACAACTATTTTTGAAGACACCACGGGGAGTTTTTGTAATGACTGGAGTAGGGAAAAGAAGCTTCTTTGTCTGGCAGAAACTTTAAGCCTGAAAGTTTCCTCAAAGAATATTGAGGGCACAGATCCACTGCTTCTTTGCCCTCTTTGGACAGACTTTGTGACAAAGGGAAAGCATGACATACCAAACAGAAACTGTCTACTTGGAACACATTAGCCTGTGTGACCTTGGCCCTCCCTTCCCATGTACAATGGAGACACTCTGCTTTTGCGGTTATCATTATCATTATTCTTTATAATCACCAGATTCAATCTCTACAAGAGATTTCAATTTAATAGAGCAATGTTTTAAATATGATGTTTCCCAACTGATCATTCAAACCCAAGCTTAGCAAGGTCTTTAACAAGATTTAAAAGCTTACTGAAAACTGTCTAAATGAAAACATATGGGTCTTACCCTCCACAAGAACACATTCCTATCATGTCTGTGAGTACTATATACAAGACTGCAGACTTAATAATACTTGCATCTGACCAACAAGTTGTCAACAGTGGTGATATTCTGAAAATTATCAATTTAGCACACACACAGGTTTGGCTTTGTGAGATACTTCCATCTCTGTTTTGCCATTTGGAACAATCCAAC